TCCACTCTTTAGTGAAATCCTTACTTAGTAGATGAATTTTAGAACCAGAACACGGGTAATTTTTTGGAGGTGTCTATACGTCCTCGTTCAGGTTTGTACGGACCCGTTTCGAGTGGGTATATATCTGGTATATTTTTTATTTTTTAAGGCCCGATTTCCTAACGCTGTGCATGCAGTAGGCGTTGGACTGGAAGTACCGGTGACCATAAACGGCTTTGAAAACTTCTGTCACGTACAGAGTTGGGTGTAACGCGTTACTGTAATAATATTACATTTTTATCGGTAACGGAGTAGTGTAACGCATTACTTTTATAATTCAGTAATCACACTACAGTTACTAACATTGCCCCGACACGCGTTACTTCGTTACTTACTAAAAATCAGTCATAATCACACTGACAGACAAGAGGGGTTTCCGCCGCAGGTTTATATGTATGTAATCTGCGCGTCCACATCTCCACGTGCAGTGCTGCATAAACATGGCTGAGTCAGCGATAACTTTCGAGGGGTGGAGGTATGCCCATTATTTTGAGTTTGTCCGAAGAATAGACAGGAATGTGACGGTGAGGTGCAAACTGTGTCCAGGCCAGAAGCTGTTATCCACTGCTGTAAACACCACGTCAAACCTCAACAAACACCTGCAAAGAACACATGCTAAGGTGAAGCTAACGCACACGCTATTTGTTGTTTGTTTATATCACGTAGTCTGTTCTTCTTCTCTGTCTTCCGGTTGTTGCCTGTTTTGAATGACGAATACACACTACCGCCGCCTGCTGGTAAGGAGAGTTATTGCCACTCACGCATGCGCAGTTCGTACGTGCTCGGCGTAGGGAGGGGCGGGGCGGCCCTGCGAGTAAAGTAACGAGTAAAGTAAAGAGTTTCTTTATGTAGACAGTAACGAAGTAGTGTAATATATTACTTTTTTTTAAAGTAATGTGTAATATGTAATATATTAAATTTTTTTAGTAACGACCCCATCTCTGGTAAGGATTTAGCTCTTTAATGTATCATGTCTTTTTGTATATTCTATTAGTATGGAGGACCTGGTAGTCCAGTATTATGCTAGGTAGTTTAGGGGGGACGAAGTTCTGGGTCCTACGGCCACTGGTTGGCTGGCCCATGATTCTGTAATCGTTTTGTTCCTTCCTGCCAGTCCTCCAGGCTTGTATCATTTAAGTTAGTTTGAATTCAAATGTAAAATATGTCATATTTTTGTAAACTCTATCGGGTTTGGTGTTTGAAATATATGTTGCGGATGACAAAGTGAGCCACAAATGTTGTTTTAATGCTTTGGCCGTAACATATTTGGGGGCGCATCCTTGTTCCTCCCATCATTATACCTTATCTTCCTTTCTATTGTAAAATATGAACACTTCACCTCTGTAGGGTATATACGCAGACTTTTGAGCTGAAATTGAATTCAAAGCTCATCTCATGCAGTTTCACATATTGACAGACTACATTTGATAAGAGACTCCAAAAATAAAAGCTCTGTCCTCCACGTCCTTATACCTGGCTTTACATTTCTCTTGGTTGTTGGACAGGAGCTGTGGATATATGACCAGAACCTGAAGCAGCAGGGTGGTCTTTAACAAGATACTGCTATACTTACAGGTCAGTCAGAATCAACTCTTTTGGGCCCAGTCGCATTCTGTCGCGTTAATGTAGTCCAGAATAGAAAAGGAACGAAAATGGGTTTCATATTACACTGAGGGTCTGGGACAATCAGAAGCAGAACGTCTGTTCTCTTGTTTATTGTAAGTCGCTGGTCTACTGCTTCTTCTTGCCTCTCGACTTGTTCTGCTCCGATTCCACCAGTCTCATGCTGCTGCTCTTTATCTCGTCGCGGGAGGGACAGCACTCATCTTCATCATCGCTGACTTCAGGAGAGTCTGTGGGACAAAGGAAGATTCTTAGTCAAATTCCTGATTCCCAGACAAGTTCATGTTCTACGCCTGCCCCGGATAGCCTGCTGTATCAATCAATCAAATTCAATCAATCATCAATAAACCTTTTTATTTTGCCCAATATCACAAATTACACGTGTCTTTATAGTGATTACAGCATACGACACCCTCTGTCCTTAGACCCTAGCATTGTACAAGGAAAACGACCAAAGGAACTCCACAGTTAACGGAGAAAGAGGATAGAAACCTGCTACTTACGTATCGGGGTGCTTGGTCTTTTGACGTTCCTCGACTCCATCCGGTTGAGCTGCTCAAGCAAACTGTGAACCTTTGGAAGGAGACAGAGAGGTTAACACATTCAGCACATACAGTACATCACTTATCAAACTACTGGCAAGTACTTCCAATGAGGCTGGAAGCCGACAAGTGAGGGAAACATCAGGCATTGAAACATTACAAAAGAGAAAGGATGGCAATAGATGGAAAGCATGAGAGGATTAAGGCACCCTCTCTTGGTCCAGGCAGCTGATCTCAGCTTTGTGCTGTGATGCTCTTTGCAGTAAGGTTGGCAGGCGGTTGCTGATGTCCTTCACTTTGTCTAAGCTCTCAGTACAGGATGCACTGGACAGTTCCTAAATAGGATTAACACATTTGTTAAACACGTCAGTTTGTTTCTCCTGTGCTTTCTCTGTAATGACAGGTCAAAATGTGTGATGTGACATTTTTTTATAAACGACAAGCTAACAAATTTGACTTGAGAAAGTGATGAGAAACACATGGAGACATACAGTCCCATAATGTTGTTTTTAAGCAATTCTATTAAATGTTTGTCAGTCCTGTCAGACCATAAGGTCAACTTTTTTAAGTCTTAATAATGTACCTGCAGAGCTAAGGACTTCCATCAGCCTGTTCACTTTGTCTTTGTGAGCATGTTAGCGTGCTGTCATTAGCATTAGGATACTGTAGTTCTAAATGACATATAATCCATATAATAAATCCTGCTCTGACTCAAAGTGTGTACACCAACCACTGCTGATCTTGGGAGATTTCGTACGATGGACACTTTACAGAAGTTCTTCACCGCTGAACTTTTTCAAATAAATTGTGAATGAAGTGAGAATCCTCAATAAAGATCTTCGTTAAATGTTTTTTATTTCTAAAGAACATGTTCTTTTTCTGAAGAGAGAATAGCTTTTCATATCCATATTGGATAATTTCGGTATGTTGATTTTTTGTTGTTCCATTAAGATAAGTATGTATTCTCTGGATATATTATGTAGAGCAGCTTTGGCTTGTACGTGCAGTCCCTCGTTAAGAAAGGTGAGGAGGAATGATTACAGGTGCCATGTCAACACTGTTTTAAAGACAGTACTAAACAATCTTTAAACAATGAGTTTAGAGAGGACCTGGACGGGCACGCAGCTCATTCTGAAGTAGAGGTTGTTGACCCCCCGCTCCACAGTGGCCAACAGGTCCTGGGACTGCTGCAGAGCGCCATGCAGGCGTCTGACACGGAACACTTCCTGATTCAGCTTGGCCTCCATTTCTCCCTTCAGCCCGTCAAACCTTGAACAAAAATTCCGTTATATAGGACAGCCACACGTCCCCCAGGGAGAAAAACATGGCAGTGAAACATGTCAACACTGAACATTGAATACTGTCAGTACTGTAATGTATACAGTATTTTTCGATTCTACTGTTAAGTATTTCATTTTATATTGCAGTATTTTATTTACTTATTTTATTTCTTTGTTTTGTGTCTTATCTATTGTGTTGCATTGTTGTGCATATGACAATAAAGCAATTGAATTTCTACAACGTTGTACTGACTGACTTAATTGCAAGTGAGCACAAATGTAAAGGTTCTATATAAAGTATCCAGAGAAACAGCAGATCAGTGTTTTCAATGTAAACATCCAGTGTAGTAATGTCTAAATGGGCAGAAGTCTCTCTCACTAAGGACTGACATTTGAATATGACCCTTAAATATGACACTAAAGACTCACATGTGAATATGGGAGTTAAATAATACACTAATGCCTGGTGCTTTTGACCCCTGCGTACCTGCTAGCTGCAGGTTTGCTGCTGAACTTGAGCTCAGCGTGCTGCAGGTGCAGCTGGGTCAGAGCTGTGTCCTCCTGCCGAGTTAGCTCCTCACAGCGGGTAACCTCAGAGAGGAGGAGCTTCTGGGTGGCTTGCTGCGACACCACCTTGCTGACCAGTTCCTGTTAGGACAGGCAGACATTATACAGCCAGACAGCAGAGCACAGGCCACGATCAAAATAATGTTGATTATAGGAATGACCTTGACTTCATTCACCATGCACCTGTTGTGGAAAACAGTCACATCTGCAGTGTGTCACAATTCAAATGAGAAGTCTTAATAGATGAACAAAGAGTTACAAAACAAAAGCATCTAAAATATTTAAAGAAGCAAGACTTACTTAAGTTGATATGATATATCCACACACTTTTCTTCTTTCTTTTAATTTCTTATCAGGGGCAATATAATGAGTTTTAAATAGATATAAAAAAACTAGGGCTGTCAAACGATTAAAATGTTTAATCAGATTAATCACAGCTTAAAAATGAATTAATCATGATTAATCACCATTCGAACTATGTCCAAAATATGCCATTTCTTTATGTATATTGTTATGGGAATGGACAGATAAATGAAAGAAGGCGGATATATCCATTTAACATACAGTATGTATGTTTATTATAACATTGTTCTGTGTGCCAAAATGAAAGACAGCCCACACACCTATCAATCATCAAACCGTGGGGTCTTAATTCATTACGTGTTGATTTCTATCAACGGGGGAGTACTTCAGGAAAGTCGACGTGGGGCTAGTGGAGTACTCCTTGACTACAGACTGTGAACGTTGTGATCAGCTGTTTTAGCGCAGTTCTCCGGTGAAGGGGGGGAGTCTCCCTCCACAGCCGGTTGGCGTAGTTTTGGCACAATTCCGTTGTACAGACCGACGTTAACAGCAGCCCTGTCTGTGCACACGGAGACCGACTCTGTCGTCCGGTGATCTAACCGCCTTCTGGAAAAGCTTCACAAGTACGTCGGTACACAAATGCGCTTTGTGACACAAGTGACGGTACGCATTTCAGATTACGCACATAACCTGCGTACCAGTTATGTGCACCCCTGTACTACACTACAGCAAAAGTATTCTCCGTCGGGATTTCCTGCAACAACACCACGCCGTTATCTTGATTCTGATTGGCCAGAAGACATGATCAAATATGTTCTATTGATAAGACGATCACTACGTGACAAAAGTTTTCAAAACCCTTTCTGGTCTTCGGTATTTCCAGAAGTGGNGGCCAGAAGACATTATCAAAGATGTTCTATTGAGAAGACGATCACTACGTGACAAAAGTTTTCAAAACCGTTTCTGGTCTTCGGTATTTCCAGACAAGTGGCTACTGAAATCAATCTTACTAACTGCTGTCTGTGCAATTTACTCCGCGCGAGTTGGCGGACTTTATTTTGCTTACTTTAACATCATTTTTCATAGTGGGGCTAAGCCATTTCTTGGTATGGGTGTAGCCTACCCCAGCCATAACCTGGCGCTGCCACTGGTGGGATGTATGGGGCGGGCCATTCTGCACATGCGTTAAATGCGTTAAATATTTTAACGCAACTAATTCAAAAAATGAATTACCGCCGTTAACGCGATAATTTTGACAGTATTAAAAAAAACATGTTTATGTTGATATTGTAAGTCATATAGTTGATTCAGTAAGTAGTCCTATAATAAGCAGGATAATGTGCATAACAACATTATCCTTTCAAACTGGAAACTGGAAACAGTTAGCCTGCTCTGTCCTAAAGTAGAGGATTCAGTGATTGTGATTGGACTTGTACCTGCACGTCAGCGCAGCCCAGAGCCTCCCTCAGAGCCTCCATGTCCTCCATCAGCTTCATGTCACTCCGAGAGGCCCCACAGACGTCGTAACGCTGCTGGTCTGCAGGGCGGAGCACAGAGCAACAAGAAAAACACCTCATTACTTTTTGAACTGAACAGGCTATGTTAATTTGAAGTGATAGAAAAGTTGAGCACGCAGCAGATATTTTTTCTTATTTGTAATTCTTTGTATTTTGTTTTTTTCTAAATGATGCCGACGTAACAACATACTGATACCGGTTAGTAAAAACCATGAATCAATGCTTGACAAGTCTGCAGACAGACGGCAGGCGATAAACCTTTTAAAATTTAAAAGGTTTATCGCCTGCCGTCTGTCTGCAGACTTGTCAAGCATTGATTCATGGTTTTTACTAACCGGTATCAGTATGTTGTTACGTCGGCATCATNACCAAAGGCCAAATGGCCTTGCCCCTAAAATGATGAAATTCCAAGCCGCAGCATAATGCTACGTTCACACCGGACGCGATGCAACGTTTGGGGGGCGGCGCGATTACATGTAAAGTCAATGCAGAGACGCGATCAGACGTGAATTCGCTCCGACGGCACGCATGAAGCAGTGGACACGGCGCGAATCACGTGATTGAGGCGATTGAAGGGGGTTCAATTTGTTCAACTCGAGCGTCAAATTCACGTGACGTGTTCTCGCGGAAGCCAATCAGAGGTGAGGATCTCAGCCTGCCGTTACTAACGTTCAACCAGAAAATATCAGCCATTAGCTGTTAGCAGTTAGCACACAGAGATCACAGCTCCTCATATCTGTTCAGAAACTGTACAAAAGTTAAACAAGTACAAACCACAGACTGTCTGTGTCATGGCGAATACAGTCGCTGGTTTATTTATGTCTGTAGGCCGTTGTTATGAGTGTGGAGTGAGCATATACAACGTTAGCTTAGCCTGGTCGACCCAATCTCCATTCAGAAAACAAGCATTTTACCAAGGCACACG